CCACCCCACCCCACCCCCTTCTTTCTCTCTCTTTTACTAATACTACTTCTTCTCCTTCTCCTTCTCCTTCTTCTTATCTTTCTCTTTCGTTCCCCTCAATAGTACCCTTCACAGTCCCCTGCGCCATCTTGAAAGGTAGCCGTGCCTTTGCATCGAAGCGAGACGAACAGTGAGCTTGCAATGATAGAGAGATGTGAATAATTTTCCAAGGTGTTAAAAAAAGGTCTCTATCATTGCAAGCTCACTGTTTGTCTTGCTTCGATGCAAAGGCACGGCTACCTTTCAAGATGGCGCAGGGATCTGTGAAGGGGACTATTCTCCCTTTAAACTATTTTATTTCCTGTCCCTTTCTTTCTTCCCGTCACATAGAAATCTTACTAACCACATATCAACTGCCGTGGCCCCAGTGAAGGACCTACCACACGTCATAGCCAGGTTTTCTCCCTGGCCTGGCCGTTGACTGGAACTAGAATGTTGTAAGGATCCCATACGTGCTAGCCGTTCTGCGTATGCCTGGGCTGATCGCGTCATGTCAGAACTCAACGTCATCATTGGCGCGCTGTGAGCGCGACGAAAATGGTTGTGTCGGTCCAGCGCTTCTTGCTCGTAACTCGCTGTTAAAAGAATGATAGATACATGTGAATAAAGTGTTACGCGACAAGTTACATGATTTTAAAAGAACAAGATAGGAAACACTAGTCAGTGAGGGAAGGAGGAAAGAAGGGAAAATAAAACATAAAAAATTCACTTCCATCTAACTTACCATGGCTAAGGCTGACCAAACCTGTCAACCAAAGGAATAAAATAGAAAATTCGTAAGTAGAGTCGGCGGGACAACACAAAAAGAAACTAAAGAACTATACATTTTAATTACTAAACAAGGAATTTTACGTCATTTTGTGAYAGAAAAATAAAAATAAATGATAGGAGAAGAAAGAAAAAAGATTTTTTTCAAACTTGTTGGCCAAAATGAACTACATGATTGAAACCTTTTCAAATTCTTACAGCGCATTTGATCTATTCTCATATATTTTTGGTATATATTTTTACGTGCAGTTTAAAGAGCTTTTAAACGCCTTTTTGGTAAAACCAGCCAGCTTCGTATCGAAATGTGTTGCTTTAACACTTTAGGAAAGCCCGTGCGTAGAAGTATGTGGTCATACTTTTGCGCGTTGCGCTGTAATTCTATTGCTACTTTATACCCATTCCAAATTTCTACAAAATGACCAAGTTATTCAAAAAATCAATCCCTACGACTTACCTGATAAAAGAATTGGGATAACCAGAAAGCGCAAAAACGTCCCCATTTTCATATCTTAAAACTGAAGCGAGCTCAGCTCTTGGTACGATTTGTAGGATGTTCTCCGTAGTTTTCGTGTGAGTTGTTTATATAGCTTGTAAATATGGTATGATTCTAAATCAATAATGCTCTGTGTTTACTGTTGTTTGTTGCTACCTGAAAGCTGTGCAAACGGCGACGAAGATGACAGTGTTCTTTACATGGTCCATGCTGGATGGATCAACCTGTCTAGATAGGTACAAGAGTCTTTGTATTTCAGGATTTAGAAGTAGAAAATTATGACTTTAAGTCTGACAAGTAGACCTCCATGTTAAAACAATGAGTCTTGAATTTTTGAAGACAGGTTTCCAGGAAGGCGATGGTACTTGATTCGCCCCATGCCCCGCCACTCTCTTTTCTCTGACTCTTTTTCTTTTCTCCGTTGTTTTTTAAAAGTTTAAGTTTTATGGAGTACAGATAAGTCAAATAAAGAATATGTTTTTCTTGTTAAAAATCGGCGATCGAACCACGTACGATCTTTTCCTAATCACACACTTTTCTCGCAAGATACGCCTTTGTCAGTCTTCGTAGGAACCAGAAAACACGAATAAAAAAGAGTAATTTAATAAAATAAAACAATTTCGAAAGTAAAAATTTTTATTATATGATTACCTATGAAATATCTATTTTTCTCTATTTCGAAAAATTGATATCTTCACACGTGAAAATAACATGTGTGAAAATAACACCATTGCGATGGCTATTCAAAAATACACGGAAAGAATTGCCTGAAAAAGCCAAAACATACTTTCATTGATAATTATATAATAAACAGAATATTACATGGGCGCTTGGAGATACGAAATGTATCTTCTCGTGTTGAAAATCTCTCACTCGTTTACTGCGCTTTTCAACACTCGAAGATAAATTTCGTATCTCCACGCGCCCATGTGATATCCTCTATATATCTTCCAAACATCAAAAAGGTAAACTGCAGTTGTTAGTAAAAGAATATGAGTCACTATGCTGACTGTAGAGAGCGAGAGAGACTTGCTGAAGTACGTAGTGCGACGACTGAATCAACAAAAGATCATCTGGATGACTCTTGTCGCCTCAGCTGTGATCGTTAATGCGCATGCGCGTAAAATGCAGCAATCTGAACCAAGATTATTGTTCCAATGCKCCAATTTTGAATTCTCTGAATTTTCTCGATTTTGTTTAAAATATATGTTCATGTTTTCCAGTGAAGGTTCGCGAAATTTTAAACTGTTTGTATTGTTGAAGTTGTGTATTCTTTACTTTCACATTTGTGATATATTAATCTGACACTGGAAGAAAGCTGACCCCRCATATATTGTGTAATTTAAAATGAAATTTGTACGCAAACTAGGCAAAGGTATTCGATGTATTGATGAATTATAGTCTCTCGCTCAGCCGCTATTAGTGTCGTCACGCAACGCTCAACCATATTGTACGAATTCGAAAATCGTCTATTTTATTTTGATTCATTTTAAATGAAATTTTAGCGAATGAATAAAAGGGCGCAAAAGGTATTTGATGGATGGATGAATTATAGTCCAGTACGCAGCCACTATTGCGTCGTCACGCAACGCTCAACAATCTTGAGCGTTTCGTGACGACACTAATATTGGCTGCGTGACTAGATGAACGGATAAATACATTAAAAAACATTTTTATGGCAGTGAATGGAATTCGTAGAATGATAGATAGGAATAAATAGAATGATATATAAATAAACCCTAGTTTAAGAATTACTAGTTGGAGACGTGCGTTACTGCATGTGTGAATAAATTAAAAGACCATATCCAAATAATAAGTTACGTAATAGACAGTTTTTCGATGTGACGTAAGGGACGGACCATTAGACAATTGAGGAGGTGTTGCGTAAATCCCCCCCAAAAAATCGAGCAAATACTCCACCTACGATAAAATATCTCGCAACCTCTCCTTTCAGATAAGAAATATCGAGCAAACACAATTGAAAATTGAGTGAAGGAGGGGTTGTTACGCAAAAATAAATATTGTATAACATAAATTCCTGTACCCCCCCTCCCCCCTAATATTATTTAGTGGTGCATCCCTAAAATATGTTGTTAACGATGTGAAATTTTCCCCATCCTATTCCCAAACCGTCAAATCCCTCGCTTTATTCCAATTCCTTTCGTAATTTCATATCCCTCGTCATTGTAAATTATGTTATCATATTCTCTATATACAAATCACTGCCTCTAAATACAGTACATTGATATTGAACGTCCAACGATCCACTAATGCAGTAAATATCCTATGAATACTATGAACACCTTGAATCCACACTCCAGTCATTTTGTTTACATGATCTGATAGCAATTTCGATCCACATCGTGTGATTTGATGATGGTCGGTTCCTGAAGGAAACGAAGTTGTGGTCTCATAACGCGACAGCTTATTTTTAATGTTGAACTGAACGCGCAAGCGAGAGAAACGTTGTAGAACAAATATCAAAAAACTATACGCACAATTAACAAGCCAAACGAAGTTGTGATGACAAGTACGTTTGAGTTAGTATATAGTGTTTGTAATAATGAAAATATGGCTTACCTCTTGAGTATGAAGACTAAAATATCTAGGAATCGATTAACCATGATGACAGTAAAGTAAACTGTTTGCAGTGAGCCTCTTGAATATCTCTGATCTTCTTCGTTAGTGCGCAACTTAACCACACGAAGGAAAAAAAAGTAAGAATATGTGAGTGCATTTTCTACTTAAAAATACATAGATTCGTGTAATTAACGAGCGAACAACAACGGAAACGTGTGACTAAAAAGGTGCCAAAACCCGCCGATCGTTTATCACGCACAAGTGCAAAATATTCAGAAAGTGATGAATTTACTTTAACACGTAGACTCGTACTAAAACTTTTATGTGTGACCGGTGAATCATATCTCAAAAGTGGACTGACCTTAACCCTAACCCTAACGCAAACCTTAAAACCTAGCCCTAATCCTAACCCTAACCCTAACCCTAACCCTAAACCCTAACCCTAACCCTAACCTTACCCAAGTTGGGGTTAGAAACCCTAGCGCAAAACCTAACCTTCAACCCTAACCCTAACCCTAACCCTAACCCTAACCCTAACCCTAACCCTAACCCTAACCCTAACCCTAACCCTAACCCTAACCCTAACCTTAACCAAGTTGGGGTTAGAAACCCTAGCGCAAAACCTATTCAAGCTACTTTGACTAATTAGGAAAAGTATTTGAAACTACCTTTTTATCCGTCCATCGACCAAATGAGTGAAACCAAGCGAGTGTGACAAGAAGAGAGTGACGCTTATGTCGATGGCCTTTTATAGCACAAGCTGCCCCACTGAGCATGCGCAGTACTATTCAAATGGAATGGGGTGAAAATATACTGGGAAAGAAATATAAATAAGGACCGTAAGTTAGATTCTTACGACTAATACGTCACCCTCGTCACCCTCTATTTATTTTATTGTAGTGTAAGTGGCAGCCATGTTGGATGATATTCTTTAATATTTCGAGGGGAATAAAGAACTTTTCATCCCTAATCACCAGGTTGAAGTGAAGGCATATGAAAGATATGTTGGGTGCTGTTATCAGGGCTATATATTTTTTTCTCTTGTTAAGAGATCTACCAATAACGTGAGGTTAATCAATGCAACACTACGCAAACATAATAGGATTTCTTTTACTATTTATTAACTATCACATCACGTGACTACATCACGTGACTATCACATCACATGACTTTTACGGCTCCCTTAGCTGCACGTCCTCGCTTTGTCAAAGCTGCCTTTCAGTACATTCTGTCGATACTGTCCTCGGTAGTTGCCCGCTCGTCTATATCGACCAACTACATAGGTACACCGACCACTGGTGGCTTTTCCCATCCCGAGTTCGGTGCTTCCCTTCCAGACGACTTGCGTGAAGTGACCCGTGCGACCGCTGAACCCACCGTTGTTGAAATTGAAGTAACACACTTCATCGTACCTGGAATGACAAAACACAGGGAGCCCACTTCAGATAATTTTCATAGAGAAAAAATCAGTGGTTGTTGGTGCGCATGCTCAAAACACTGTTTGTTTAAGGAATATAAAACGTGCGCGTATGTCTCTGTGCTGTGACTTGCTTTTCGAGTGCTCTACAGCTTCCAAAGTTTATATATCATTTTAGAGAGACATAAGCAGTCGTTTTATATTGCGCGCTTACATAAATCATTTTTGAGCGATTTTGCGCGAGCGCGTCTGTGTCCTCTGACACAAACAAGTTGGTAGCCAGCCAATAAACGCGCGCGTTATATATATCTACATTTATACATATCTACATATCTAACTTTTAGCACTGTTAATGGTTAAAAAACACTTATTTCCAGTACGGTCAACCAATAGACCTCCTCGGCTTGGGCGTTATGCTGACGCATTTCAAACCACGTGTCTTTCCCCCTTAGAGTATCATTTCTTTGTTTAACGGTTGCCCAAACAAAGAAAGAATCTTATTCTCAAGCCGGATGACACGTGATCTGAAATAGGTAAACATAACGCCCACGCCAAGGAGGTCTATTAATACCAAATAAATTTTAAAAATGAATCGACCARTGGTTGTCAGTGCGCATCTTCTAACGCAACATAGAATGTATGTAGTGCGTATGCGCAAATGGAAACTTGAATTCCATACCACATTTTAGTAGCAGCAGTACCGGTCAAGTCTTGTCCACACATGGCCAGGTTTTCCCCATCAGAAGTTGATGAATGGACCAGGTTTCCACCACGTCTGGCTAACTCGGCAGCATAGGCTGCGGCCTGACGTGACATCTCAGAATTTAGAGTCATATCTGGTGCGATGTGGATGCGGCGATACTTGTTGTGCGCCTCCAAGGCATCTTGTTCAAACGAGCCACTTCCAGAACCACCAGAGCCACCAGAACCACCCGATCCGCCGCTGCAGAAATTGCAAGATTTTGGGCAATTTGTTTTCATCCAATCTGGATAGGTGTTGCAATATCCATGGGACTGATAATAGCTACAGTGCTGGTCAAGATCCAGGCATTCTCCTACAGATATGATAGTACTATGCAATGAAACATGGGATGACGGACGGACGGATGGATAGATGGATAGATGGATAGATGGATAGATGGATAGATGGATAGATGGATAG